CCGTAAATAGGTAACCGCAAAGGATTCATAAATTCCGTGCCGGCTTTCAACTACCGGGCGAAAAGATCGCGAATTTAAATGATTCGTTTTTTTTAAAAAAAAAAAAGATACGTTACTATTGATTAGATTAAATCATGCATACCTGCCAAAGAAATGAAGAAGTACTAGCCCGAAGCAAGACTTTGATCGGTTTCCAATGCAAAACAATATCGCGATTCTCGCCTTCAAAATCCCACCCGTCATACTCTCCCTCTGTCCAATCCGCCGCATAGATAGTCCCAAATTCACCCTTGGCTAATTCTTCTACATTCTCTAGTCGATCAGAGGGAATCCACCGCAGACAAGGAAACGAGTAAGAGTCAGCGTCTTGTTGTGTTTCTCGGATAACGGTATCGTATTCAGCGTTTCCGGTAGTCCAATCTTGATTTACATTACACTTGTCGCACCATGGACCATGGCGCAAGATACGAGGGTACAACCCGCCGCAGGTTTTGCAAAATTTTTCGGCCACGAGCGCGAGCCGGCCAGTAGATTCTTGGCGGGATACTCCCAAGAGTCGAATGCGTTTTTTACGGTCATTGCTACCCATATAAAAACGATCTGCATTCAATTCTGCATCACCTGTTTTCAGCTAAAAGGTGGAAAATGCTTATGTTAATTCTGAGGCAAGATTGAATCGCCACGTTGCAAATTCCTCACCTCATGAAAGAATTCTTCTTCTCCATCGCTTCCCGAGTCCATGACCTTGACTTCAACCCTCAGAGGCTTCCAATTGATCACTCGCCTCCCATTCGGTTCGAAATGCACGCTTTCAAATTGACCGTCTAAAAAGCTGGCCTTGTAAACCACGCAAAATTCACCTTTCGTGATTTCGACGAGATTCTCTAAGCGATTCCACGGAATCCATCGAAGATAAGAGTCGTCATATTCACGTCCAATTTCGTTGCGTTTTATGATTTTATCATAGTCCGCGTTTCCAGTCGTCCATCCCTCCATGAGCTGTTTGTAGTCACATCCATTTCTGCACCAGCCTTTTTTTGAATATATCTTATCACCGCAAGCGTAACAATTAAATTCCTCGTCACCCATTTTGAAGTGACCGTGTCAGCGCTTTCATGTGTCTCGGAAACATAAGTTTAAATATATGCTGGCAGCTTTAATAGTATTCAAGTTACGAGTGTTACAAATAAAAGGCAAATCACAGAAGAGTAGCATAATAAATGTTCTTCAATTCCCAATTTGGTTACGAACGACATCTTGGTGAAAAAATAATTGTATTGCCGTCGAAGTTTACTAAATGCCTGTAAGCAGTATCCATACAATGAATGTTACTTAAGGATCTAGTTGACCAGCTTGTTTTTTTTTGAAGACGAGGGATCTGATAATACTTCGTTTAACGTATCATCATTCACACGATTATTTCCAATCCATTATTTTTTTTTATTCAGTTGACGTTTACAAGCGTTGTGAATATAGAATTTACTCTAACCCGATATTAACTAAAATTTGTAAATACCAGGTGTTGAAAAACTTGTGGTATGGGAATAAATAGGCTTTTAAATAGGCCGATACTTACATGAGAACTATATTAGTATTCAGATTGAATAAAGACAATACAATAAAATTGGACTATTTTTAAGCTTTTATGTGGTCAATGTATTTGCGCATGCGCCAATCGGAAGGATAAATTCAGCGACGCGCGAACGTAAAATTCTCTACATGATCACATGACTTATATAACTAAATTTGATTTGTTCTCCTTTCCGTTTTCCTCAAAAAAAAAAATGGAAGAAGCATCAAAACAACGTAAAGCACGTTTGGAAGCCTTCCGCAAAAGAAAAGCTGAAGCCATAAGTAATACCGATGAAGAAAGTGAATCAAATGAGAATAGGTACGTTAGTGTAACAGCTATAAATCAAGTACGGATGCCTTTGAACCATGCTTCTTTTGCTAAAGATTTTATTCCTCTCCCTCTGTTCTACCTCCACTGATCAACGGAAGAACACTCCGTTTTCGTAATTATACACCCTTAAATGAAGATATAAGAGCAAATTCGGTAGTCAAAATAGCAAAACCAGAAGACATTGGGGACGATACTGTGGAGAAGACTGCTGAGCAAATAATAAAGAAAATTGAAGTTGAAGAGGAAACTACGAAGGAGGATGTGGTATGTTGTAAAGTTGGGACACGGGGCGGGAACAGGTATCATATCGTGGCGTTGGCTGACGAATGCACAGATAAACGATGGTTGTCAACTGCATACGTTAACCATTCTTTCGTCGTACTGTAGGATTTATTCAATCTTGCTCCGAAAAACCCAAATTGGGACTTAAGGCGTGATGTTGAGAACAGGCTAAAAAGGCTTGAGCGTAGAACTCAAGCTAGTATTGCTCAGTTAATACGTGAGTTACTTTGTACGTTTTCTTACTACAGCTGCTTCTTTTTAACATTTCCGTATCTAAATTTATTATATATTAATTAGGAATGCGTCTGCAAGGTGAGTCAGGGTCAAGCACTGATCTAGCTGATGCTGTGAGAGCTACTGAAAAGGGGGCCGAATCTGAAAATGAATCGGATTAACTGTTTAATAAAGTTAAAATGAGGGATGGGCTTGGCGAAAGGTGAGGCGCGTCAGGAGTGCGCATATCCTATGAACTTGATAAATTCGTTAACTTTTAACAGTTTCTGTGACATGTGATAATTTAGAATGATGACTAAATTCTTCTCCATATTCCTTTGTCTTGTCTCATCAAAAATCATTTCTTTGACTTTCGAATTCATTGACCTCTTTATATTCCAAAGGCGAAGATGTATTTATATTGGAAGACATATCAGACGATAGTTTATGGGTAATAGAATTCTCGACAGTATTGTTTTGCAACTGCTCAAATCTCTTTTCCTAATTCTACTATTTTGAGGTTCCCTTAACTTCGCATTCTCGGCGTTTTCTTTTACAGATTTGTCTAGTTCCACATCCTAATCATAAGCCCAGCTTCCTCAGCCAAAAGCAAATCTTTCTCCTTCCAAGTTCAATTATCTCGACTATTAAGCTTATAATTCTTTCTTCCACTAATTGATTAGATTGCATTGATATATTAATATTCAAAAGTTCGTTATTAAGGTTATCTACGGATTTCTGGAATTTTCGAATTCTGTATAACGACTGACCAGCGTCTCTTTATTCTATCGATCAAATAAATATAATAGGGGGGTCCAATAAGACAATTATGAACGAATTGAATTATGGGTGGGCGAAACATAAAAACTTCTGTGATCGTTGTCGGAAAAATCCTGTGTCTTTGATATGGCCGTAAATCACAGATGCCCTCCAACCATCTGCCGTCCGCGGGGAGAATCTGATTTTTGCAGCAATCATTCTCTCCTTTCATAGCACAGACCTCTCCCTACACCTTGGCCTGCTCCCTCTCACATAGGGTAGTTATATAAATATGTGGATTAACATACAACCACTCTCTGAACATCCATATTTCCACTTTGTGGAACTGTCTTGTTGATCTGTTCTGCTGCTGGAAACGGAACATATAATATCGAGATAACTTCAGTATGCAATTTAGACCCGCGAAGGCAGTTATAGAGAAAGATTCTACTTACCTGGTTCGTCAAACAGGCCACGATATTGATGGGTAAATCGCCTACTGTTACGAAATCAAGTCGCGTCAAGAACATGAAACAGCACATAGTCGTGACAGTAATCGCGTAATTGGAATTATTTTGCCTGTCCTTTATGTCTCTGTCGCTTTCTTAACATTTGATGCAAATACAACAACGAGACAATAAAGACAAAGTTTTTGTTTAAACGTTGCTTGCGAGATTAAGATACCTAAGATACTTCAAGGAAAATAATTGTTTTTGAAAAAAAAAAAAGTTTAGTTTGTCAACTTGTATGCATGACGAAAACTTGATAATTATCGTTTTAGGAAAAAACCTTCATTATTCATACTATAATTTTTTTTAATTAAATAAACATGTACATACGTATTAAATAAAAAACGACGTTGAAAAGAAAGCTAATGTATCATACTAAAATATAAACGATGTAGCAAAAATTTTTTATTCATATCGATATAATTACTGTAAGTTGAATATTTTCACAGATATTCTCGGAATGTGTACCTGTCGTCTACACTAACAATTCCACTGTTTAGGCCAATATGAATAGACGTACATGTAATCAGAAAAAGTTCTCGAAATCAGAAATGAAATCAGCTACATGGTATCTTTTGTGTGCTTCGCTTTATTGTTATCGTGCGGATAACGTCAGACATTTTTCTTCTTAATACTATGATAAACAATAAAAGTGTATCCCATACTGAGTATAACACTATAAGTGAAAATGTATGGTGACGAAATTTTAGAAATTAACTTCAGCGATGTTATCACCAAGAAATCACGATCAACTACATAATTTGATGTTATCGTGCAGATAACAATCATTCTTTAACCTTTTCTTCTGCTTACGATGTACGATGACATTTGTAAAATGCAGCCTTTGTATGAGCGACTTACGTAATGTAACACGTGTTATATTCCCAGCATTAATTCTAATGGTTATTAAACGTAGACGATATCATCTTCTGTACAAGTTTTGGCCAGGCATATTCGGCGGTATTCTATATGTATCTTTACTATTACCTTGGTAGTCTTTACCTCAAGTGCACTCAGGTAAAATCTAAAGTTGGATAACATAGTAATAGGGGCAGGGTTCAAAATTCGAACACCAAATTTGTGCCGATCATTCTTTGTGATCAAATTCTCGGTGATTGTTTTAATGAATTACTATTACTATCACTTGTTACTATCATTATTATTATATTTTTTTACTCATGGAGATTTTGACCTCGTTTAGCCCAGTTATCGTTGCCCTTACTACAACGACAATTCGACTAAGACGAATGCTTGAGCTATAAGTGACGTTTTTTTGTTTAATTATGCGCTTCTTATACGTAACACTCTTTCGGTAATCGTATCCAAGTAAGAAAATTCGCAAAATAATGTTAACGACGATTATTATTCTACGGAGTTGATAGGGAAATGTTATCTCCTAACTTAAACAGGGCGAGGCTTCGATTTGGTGTTTGACTAGTCAAAGGTGTTACTTATTTATCCAATATTAATTACAGAATCACTTTTTTCCGTAATATTAATTAACACGTAATTGCAACGAATAATAACTCGTTTACAACCATTTAATGTCGTTCGTATACTAACCCGCAAAATAATATTACTAAACTTTTGTTTTGGGCAGTTATTATCTGAAAGGTAATTAATTATATCAACGATGATAGAAAGAAAATAAAGGATATGCGATTTTGAAGGAAATCAAAACTATCCGATTTATTATTCAATGCCAAACAGAAACATTCTAATATACAAAACATGTCATTTAATGATGGGATATGGGCTGCTTATAAGTCTTCAGGTCGTGGCAGAAATTGAGGAACGCGATAGCTAAATTTTCTATTGGCTAATTTTGCGTGGCAGAATGGTTCACTTTGGAATTTACTAATTTTAGCTACGCAGTTGCCTGATCAAATTAATGTCGATCAGTCTATCTGATTGGCATGTCGACATATTAATATAGGTATGTAGTATTTTTACGTTTTTGTTACTAATATCCGCTAAGACTTGGACCATATTCAGTTTAGAATGACTGACCAAATCTAATAGACTAAAACTATTTGTCGAAATTTGCCGCGTTATTCAAATAGAATAAATACGCTCAACGTTATGACGATCAGTCTATGCAATATTAATATGTATAAAAGGATATCTTTATCGACTTTAATCCGTCCTTTGCGTTATACATATCGTAAGCATAAAGACAGAAACACTATTTTACGTATTTATTAGTAGAAACCGTTATGCTTGAATTAACTGGAAATATTACTGACTTTTGTAATAGTGTCGAATTTAACATAATTGTTAATAAAAGTTGTCAGTAGTATAGATACTTAAAATCTTTGTAATAAAGTCAACGAGGCTGTAAAACAGTTTATATTTGGTCGTTCTTTTCTGCGACAGCAAAAATTCTAGAAATTATGAAACCACACTTATTTTAAAACTAATGAATGTAACGACACAAACGACGTAGACGAGTTTTTTATCAGCAACAAATAATGCTTATTTTAATATTACTTGGCCTTATATTCAAGCCCACTCTGCTTGCATTTCCGAGAGCTAAAAATACGCAAAGAACAAATGTCTGATTGCTGCAGGTTGTCTGTTGATTTTATTTTCTGCAGAGACTGATCCAATTTTGAGCACATGCAATATACATAAACAGATTGATAATTCTACGAAAAAATGACTACCCCAAAATACAAAATCAGAGCTGTTTATCAACTTTGCCACCAACTACCGTTTTAGTTATCACTCATTGTATTAAAAGTTCTCAATAAATCTGGTTAATATATTACAGAATTAGAGACGGTATTGCCAACTTTAGTTGAAACGTCGATTGCGATAAACAATGAATTACATACTGTATTATTTATCGGAGCATAAATTGAAAACACAACCAATATACAGTAAAAAGCAAACTACAAGAAATTTTATGGCGACAATAGGCGGTAATCGGTATGCGTAATCATGTACAATAAATTAACACATATTTCTCATAAAGTCCACGTACGTGTAAAAGCGAATAAACTACAGGAGAAGAAAACCGATGCGTGTTTTTATTTGCAAAATTATCTCAGACAAATTGTTATTGTAAGCAGTCACACACTATTATAATTTAAATGTCAGCTAACAATTTTTTTGTAAAAATTAACAATTTTACTAATTTTAATTAATTATTGTTGGAAATGCAACCAATTTATTGTTATATATAGTACATCCAATAGAACAATTGACACGCATTCCATGCAACACACACGTTTTCTTTATAAACCAACTATTATAACACACTTGAGTATTATGATACACATGCTTCTATGTTTATCTAATTGACAAGTTTATTAGTATCTAACATAATGAATGGGACTAAATAGCAAGCAAAAAATTAGCGGGTAATTGATTAACTTAACCGTAGTCAATTACATTTAGCTTGCTTCATTTACGTATTATCAATAATATCGGTTTAGGTCACTGCCCAAAATGCAAGTCTACGTACGAATAAAAAACCATACTCTATCGCATGCTTACTCAACCAGAAAGAGTACAGTTTTTTTGGGTATGCCACAATTCTTGAAGGAGAAATTTCTTTGATCCAACAACTACGTTATATAAACCTCCATTACTAGCGCTCTTAATAAATTCACTACCACCGTAATTCCAGACACATTTGTCAGCTGCCTCATAATCTACAAGTAATTCATGTATATATTAGGTATTTATAAATGCCATGAGAAAGAATCAATAATTGCGTACAAGAAATACTTACCAGCGTCATCATACCAAGCTATCGTGTAATGTAACGAAAACAATAACGTGAGTTATATTGTACAGATTTATTAATAAATTTATTTCGAAATACTCACCATTATATTCTCCGTCAGTAACAGTTTCAACCAGTTCGTGCATCTAACAAGTCAAATGCAGTAAAGTATTTTTTAAGTCAAAAACGTAATTACAAACCATTTGTTTTTTATAATTTCAAACAATACTTACAATAACACTGGCCATTCCATCAATAGCAGGATTGTTATTTGGAGATACTCCGCCCGATTGTAATGGAGCGCATCCATCAAGACAGTTGGTAGGCGTACCAACAAATGCATATTTGATGGTTTTACCACGTATGGTATCATAAGTGTGAAATCCGCAAAAGTCTGAACAAAAGCCGGACGTCTAAATAATGACGGTTATCAAATATGGGGTACGTTAAAACATTTACGTAACATGATATACAGCGTTTATTGCCGTCAATTTTTACGTACATGATTCACGTCCGCGCTTCCGAGAATATAATAAACGGCAGTTTGATCCAATGGCCAATTAGCTTTCTGTATTGCGTTTGCGACAACATTGAGCATGGTATCGTCAGTGATATTTTTGCCAACCGAGTAATCATCGGCATATGTGCCGGCAAGGTTGAGGTTACTGAAATAATAAAAATAAAATTTAATAACTTGCTTTCTTTTGAATCTTGCATCAAAACAGCCAATTATTTCCCAAAGGTCGTTTAATAATTGTTCCTACCCATTGACGGGATTTCGGGACCTATCATAGTAAGACGTAACAATTTTATAATAACTTGTTGTATCAATGTTGTTCATTAAATATTCTAGAATTTTCTGGTCATTTCTCTGCCAAGATCCGTAATAGATATAATAGACATTAACATCGTTTGTGAGAACACGGCTATAAAAACATAATGTTACAGTTAGAACTAAGACAAGTTTACATTCTCAATTTCATCCTTTGAAAGACTGGATTAGCCAGTTTTCTTTCCTTTATTTTATACTTTACCCGCCATGATTTTTAATCTTTTGATCTCTCGGAGGTCCATTCAATGAAGGAGTACCATCATCGGACTGTATGCTAACAACATTCTGACCAGGATCAGTCGATTCTACAGTAAACGGTTTGGTAATCTTTATTGTCCGTGGACCTCTAACCGCAATTGGAGCACCAGGAACGGGACTGGCAAAAGTCTGCAAAAGCGTAGACAGGATGATCAAAGAATAAAAGAGAAGAAAACGGGATAATAATGGAGCGAACATTGTTGTTGGAAAAGAAGATCTATAGAGGGATTTAAATGAAAAGTCAAAAAGTTGGATTAACTAAAATCTATTAGAAACATATACGGCGTAATATATCTTGTATTAGGTTCTATAGCTATGATGCTATTAATCGATAATAGTCCTCTCCTTGCGGAAAGACAAAGAGCCAAAAGGAGTGTCTATAGCTCTAGACTAATACCAAGAGAATGTGGCAGATGGAGGGGGGAAATGTAAACGAGGGAAATGACATTCTAATTGAAGGTTACCGCCTATTTATTACTTTTTTTGAAGCTATTGTGATAAAGAAATATATTTTATACTGTGTTCTTTTCGAATCATTTTTGACCAATTTTAGGATTAATATTAATAACGTCTTGTTTACATTAATCGTCTGTGCTATACAAAATTTACATGATATTATACTGGTTACATTGTTTTTTATCTTGTTTCCATTGTCGGATTGTTCCTCTTCTTGCCTTGTTTTGTAAAAACATCGATTCGTGTTACATACTCGATATGAATACCAAGATGATGTTATAGGTACCACGGTAAATACAAACAACAAACCTCTCTTGATTCAAGATACCTTAAATGGGTTAGAGAGGAAGCGTTGATGCAAATGGTAAAGTGGAAAGTTTGAATAAAGCGGTCGATATCATTATTATTAATTTCTAAACTTTCTGAGGTTAATATGCGACGAGATCAACTGATTATATGCACCGATTAATTTTATCGTTATTATGCATTGATATACCAAATACCAGTCTCTGCATATTCTTTGGTTATTTTGAAAGTGAGATCTTTCATTCTCATTTGCAACTCTGTCCGTTAAAGATTAATAAATCTGATGCTGACAAGGCAGATGTTGTCATATTATACATTATTAAACTTTAACTTTATTAACAGTGCGACATAAATGAATGCTGTATTGTGTATGTGCTGAATACAACTGTTATAGAAATTTGGGAGAATATTCTAAAATAAGCAGTACCCCAAGTATAGCACTTTTATTGACTTGAGAATCGAGTGTGTTATTTTGAGAACCACCAATTATTAATCACCGTGCAACATCGTCAGTAGTACAACAGCTAACGAACAAAGCGCATTTGACGTCAGGCCTGTCCGATTTTCAATTTTCTTGGCACACCACAATGGGTCGACAATATTGTCGAAACTGATCACGTTTGTATCGTCGTAATTGAGCGTCCCTTTTCTTGCTCAAATTATTGTTTTCAGGGCTCGTTCTTTTATTAAAGTTGTTTGATCAGCGTTTGCCCGAGACACAATTAAATTAACGTTCTTTTTGATGTGATACGAATTAGTCTGTACTTTAAACACTTTTGGTTGGAATAATTGCTGCGCATTAACATACATTGTAAATCGGACATCTATCCGCATGGTCTAATTACAAAGCTGTTGCATCTTGACAAGCGCTGATTTCCTTTCACAAAGTTAATTTACCAGACGTTTGTTAGCACCTTTATTTCTTGATTTATACTAGCTCTGCCAGTTTTATTGCAGCGCATCCGCATTTATATAATTATGTGATACAAACCAGCAAGTATGTAACTGGTTTACCGGATCGCTTCGTCAAACACTCTTTTGAGCACATGCCGTTGAATTTGCGTGACTCGTAGTTATTATTATCGCATGTGCATTAAAAATATCAATACGTGAGAGCGTTCGCCATTAAAGATAACCTATCACCACTCCTATTACATCACGCGCAATACCTTGTACGTTCCTCCATTTCTGGCAATTTGGTTTCGCATGCTTGTAGTCAAACTTAAACTTTTGTGTGTATGTGTTTTTTAAAGAAATGTATTTTATTGTTATCACTAAATACTGTACATTATTGTCAAGTCTTTGTCTAAATAGTTTAGCGATCAAATGATCGACTGTTTCAGTTATCATCCCCTTATTATTCTGATTGTCGTCAAATGATCATCTGGTACAAGGTTTTACTTCTTGTTTGGGTCTTTCCCGTTAAAAGTCGCATTAATTATGCATGTGTGTTACAGCCTTGATATTTTCGATTTTTGTTTATGCGCAAGATACCGGCATTGACGAGACTCTTAAACGGCAAAGCACACTTGCAATGTAGTCCCGAAATTTGTTGTGCTAACAATTTGCCTAAAATCAGATAAAGTGCAACACTTGATTTAGGTAATAAGTGAAAATCATAAACAATGCGACGAGCAAAGTGATTGCAAATATTAATTATTAAAATTTTTAATTATGTAGAATTTAAGTAATTGTTTACACTTTTCCGCAAGCGAAACTTCTAACCCGAGTAACCAAATTATACAACCCCAACAAGGAACAATATTATTGTCATTTACATTATTAAAGCGGTGACATTAATCGTAAAGTCAAAACGTAAAACTAATTTTATTACAAATGGTGTCATCTTGTCCTTACCAAGGCGAGTATTTTAATTAGCACTCGCTCTATGAAGAGCATAATCATTCTCTGTATACAGAAACTCTTTTAAACTTCTGCCTACATAAACGCCGATATGTTTGTTGGAAAGTATTGACAAAGCTTTATAAGAAAACCGTAGGTATTTTTTGCCAGTCTTGAAATAATAAATAATAATCTATATGTTTTTTGTTAGATACCTAAATTTTTCAAATGGTTTTCAATAACATTACTATTACCATGTTCTTCATGAAGAAATTGCTCTGGTAACAACAAATGTCTTGTCCTTTTTCAATAATTGTGATAAAAGACATTTTCTTTGCTAATATTATTGCGGCGTTCTTATTTATATAACGTTGAAATGCTACTCTGGTTCTTTTTGTAGGGTTGTTTTTTTTATTATTACTTCCAAACTTTAATATATTCTTTATAATGTCGATTCAAAATAGGTTTTCGCTTTCGAATAAATATCCAATTATTCAATGATCAAAGAACAAGCCCAGTTACTATAGAAAATTTACTTGTGAGAGAAAGCATTCGTTATCGATAAATAAGCATGATTATTTCGATTATGGTTAATTTTTAAAAGTAGGTAAATTTGCTGCTTTATAATAAAATGTGCGTATGCTTTGTTAACAATACAGTATCGGACAGTACGGTATACTCAACGGCAAAGTATTAAAACAAAAAGTTTTAGTAAAAAAGTGTAGAGTCAATATAATAATCCAGTTTTCTAATGTTATGAATTTGTCGGAAATATTTTTCTGTGCAAATGACACTTTATTATTTACGCATATTCCATACGTACTATGTATCCTTTGAAAAAAAAAAAAAAAGAGTGCGATTTAAATTAGTTACTACAATTCGATAATGTGAGCGGTGTTTATGCATCGCTCACATTATCATCGAACTGCAAAACTGTAACAAAATCGAATATATTCCGAAAAATACAATAGCGTATGGGACAAGTTTTCCAATGAGCGGGAAATTTTTATATTTAGCAGGCGTATAGAGCGACTTAATTTGTATCATGTAAACAATTTTGTCTCAGCCGTTAACAGCTTACCGAACGCGAAAGCGAAAACTACAAACAACTGATGTAGTTGAAGAAACCCTTGATTGAAAGTAACGCGTACTTGCCTATTTACATCGCCACGCGCGCTAGTCCATAAATAAAATTATGCCACTACACTTGTGCTATTATTTAGGTGCAGACGGAATGGAAATTCTCCGGTGCCAAGACACAAGCAAACATTTCACCGCCGTTTGTCACCGTCACTGCGTCAGTCTTGGCACATTGCCCACAGTATGATGAATAAGACAATCATCAAATCTGTTTGCAGTCGTAGACGTTCGGTTACAGGGCGAATCACAACTTGCTATCCTCCCCATAAAGGACTAACCCTGCAAACATTTTATTTGTTGTTCATAAATAGTCTCAAGAATTTACACCTATTCATGGTAGCAGAACTAACATTCCATTTTTCATTATCCCTACTTGAGCATCAACGATCCAAACCGACTCTTTTTTTTTTTTCCATCATGATAACGAATAGCTCCCATCTTTGCTAGCTTGATTCAGTCATACACACTTGGCTAACAACTTCATTAATAATATCGATAAATAAATCAATATATATCCAATCAAACGTCAATCTGCCACCAATTGTCCTCCCCTCCTACAACTGCATCTAACAACAGCTTCCAGAATAAAAAATTGGATGTCATTGACATCGGTCTCTACAATGTTCATATATATGTATATATTATTAACCCTTTGTCATCTACGAACTAAATAAAATATAAAACAGCAGAAGAAATAAAGAATAAAGGAAAATGCTGTAATCGTCTAAATCACTGACGCCTAATAGGTTAGTTGGCAGCAGTTGACTTCCTTCTAACATTCCGAGTCCAGGCTTCGACATCGACATTTGATTTCTGAGCTTCGACAACATACGGATGTTTCTACGAGTTGATAATATATATAGTAAATTAGCATCTGTGAAATATCATACAAAAAAAAGTGACCCTGATACGCGATACTAACCAGTAACTCTTGTAGATTAGGTCGCTGACTAACATCCTTGGACAAACTGAAAAATAAAAAGGTCGCATTGATCAGGATGAGAAAATACATTTATAATACGTGTGATAAGACTATGACCTAATAATATGTATACTGTTACACCAAAACCATCAACAGGTACTTACCACTTCTTTGTCAAATCGTCAAAGTCATCAGGAAATTCACCCGGTGGTAGAGTCGGCGGGGCCTCATTAACGATATGTTGTAAAAGCTCCAACACTGTTAATTTACTGCCATCTGGCGGGAATGGAAACCGACCAATTGCCAACTCTATCAAAGTGATACCGACCGACCATACATCCGATCGTACAGTATATGTAGCACCCTGAATACGTTCAGGCTTTGTAAAATTGACAGAGATTGTTTTTATGAGCATTCACACACGAGGGATCAGTTATCAACTAACTAAAGAAATATATATATATATATACTTACAGACATATAGTGCGACGTTCCTACAAAAGTGTCTGCAATGGAATTAATCACTTGACCGGATACACCAAAGTCACAGATTTTAATTTGGCCTTTAGAGTTTACAAGGATATTGGATGGCTTGACATCTGGAAGGAAAAGAAAGCTGATAAGGTGAGTTGTGTGTATATTTACTGACGTAAACAAAAGCTTTGTTTTATGCAGAAACGTCATAATGAACGAACACACACACACGTCGATAATGATGATTATATTTACCTCGATGAATAATTTTGTGACTTCCATAGAGATAGTTAAGACCCTCTAATACCTTATGATGTCATTATAGTCAATTGCAAGTGATGGTAATGTGACGTAGTTTATGAAAAGTACGTGTAAATATAGCACACTCACCGCTAGTGTAATTTTGCCAAGTATGGGAAGTGGAATAGGGCCAGTCTTCTTGTAGATGGCGTCAAGTGACCTAATAAAAAATTACCATATTAGCACATTTATTATACATTCCTTATTTACATAAACTCTCAAATTATAGACCGTAACCCCAAAACGGTCTTAACCAGTTTTTCGAAATTCTATTTCTTATTCTCAAAAACGCTTTTCGACCGTTTCCCATTCACATTCCCATTCCTCTCCCTTCTTTGTTTCCCGCATTGGAAATAAATGCCTACCCGACGTCCATATATTCCATACAAATGGCTATGTCACGGTCTTCTTCAGTAACAAATGCGCCATAGAATGAAACGATGTACTTGGAATTACATTCGTGCAGAATTGTCAGTTCGCGAAGAATTTGTTTCCGCACTTGTGGTTTGGCCTCGATATGAATAATCTGAAAGTGAATTATTGCGTAATTAGAGATCCAAAAAAAAAAAAAAAGTGTGAAATATATAATATTGACAACAGATCCTCGGTTTTCGTGAGGTGAGAATCGCACAAGAATTGACATCGTTTTTGTTGTGGTCGTGGATAAATGTTTAACGAAAGAAAGGAAGGAAAGATATGGACGGGAAAGAGGAAAAAAAAAAGTTAAATGGGGCGACGAAGGATCATTCACCTTTTTAGCCATGATAGTTTGCGTTGTGACGTGTTTGACTTGAGAGACTGTTCCTCCATTGCCCGAGCCGAGTTCTCTTAACAGTATGAGGTCTTCGCTGCGTAAGTCTAGTCTAAACTCTTTGCCTAGCTCGAGGTCGGTTAATCCCTTGGCAAGGGTAGTGTCTACGTCGTCCGCTTTTGGTACTACTGGGGATGCGTTGAGGGTGAGATGACCGGCATTTCTCTTTCGTCGTAAACTGCGGGGCTGGAACACGGACATTGTGATCACTGTGTTGGTGATTAAGGAGAGGAATAGAAGAGAGAAAAGCAGTGATCTTGTGGAGAACGGGTGTCTTTGTTGTTGTGCGACTTTGGATGGTAAGTAGTTTTGGTGAGTTTGTTGAATTAAGCAGGTTGTGACAACCAATGAATATGCACGGCGGTTGCCCAGTTGGTGGAATGGTTACTGTAGATGTGTATTAAATATGTGTTGTGGTGCTAAATATAGAAATGGAGAGGTTATTATGTTTATCAAAGACATGAGCAACAGCAGATACAGAAACATGCCTTGATGAGTGACAATGGGATAGGCATGGTGGATAAGAGCGGCGACAACGATAGATAATAAAAAAATGCCCGAGAAACAAACAAAGAGTGGGTCGGGCACATATCTTTGTTGATCAACTAGTATGTTTTTATTATCCATTCACTCAATATCACATTCTTGTAAAATTCTACAGTTTGACATGTACCAAAGTGATAATTTGCAAGTCCTTTTCCTCTCTCTCCACCACCTCCTCTTTTCTTTTTACTCTACACGCAGACACATTCTATCATCTCATTATTCGTTATATCCCATTAATAATATCACCCAATAAAATCTATCCGATGAGATCAACCAAAAATCCCCATTATTATTATTGTGTTGTAGGATTACAAAACGCCCATCGCCAAGTGAAACATGTATGCACTAATAACATAAACATTTCATACTTCATCACCAAACTAGCTGATTCGCTAACATGCGTCTATTTTTTCCCTTAACGCTCCCAAAAGCGGAACATTCCACACAATGTAGGAAAAGCAGGTTATTTCTTCGACTGGCCGCAGTCATCATCAAACATCCCAAATTTGTCACACGATCGTGGATTTTGCGGATTGTTCCGACCAGGATTTCGATATAAATTCAAGTCACGGGACTAATAACTGTGTGCACGCGACGACATTTTAATTGGGAAAATAAGGGTGTGCGGCGCAACTTGTCGCGCGTAAACGAAAGAAACCAAAGCCTTCAAACTGAAATTCCGCTTACTCTCTGAGGGCTATACTACCCCGTTGAATAATACCGTTCTATTTCCAACCCTCCCATCAAGCTCGACAACCCAACCAGACAGTGTCATAACAATATGTTCTTCTTTCTATTCGGTGAGTTTGGTTGCATTATGCGTGCATGCGTGCTTGTAATCTATGTTTAGCACAAGCTGCCAGTTGACCCAACACGACAGCTGTCTGCATTAACAAAATGGCTATTTTCATGTGATATTATTAACGACGATGCGATATGACAAGTCATATTGTTCAATGCTATTGTAGCTGACTCGTCAACTGATGATTTCTTTATTTCCCTCCACTTTCCTCCCCTCCCCTCGTTTTTTCTCCCCTCATTTTCCCCCTACAACTTAATCTAACCATGAAATCCGTTTCATTTGCCACACAGGGAGCGTATCCCCACGACTCACACTTATACAATCCGCCCTTCCTGTTCGATGTCCGAATTGCCTACTTCCCGAAGCAACGGTATACCAATACAAATCATCAAACGTACTGAAAGTCTTTTTCGTGCCAATCCTCACTTTTGGCTCCAAACCGATATGGCAATGCAAAAACTGTGTATGGACATCGGATAAACCACCGGACGACGAGACGATCAGACGGAGCGAAATCGACGAATTGACTCATCAGCGTTCTCCATTGCCCACTTGGGGACTGAGCAGATGCCGAAAGTGCGGCAAGGAGAGCAACTTTTCGGGAAGGAGAAAGTTCTGTCCGTATTGCGGAGATGAGCCGAAAGGTCGTTGATTTGTATCAAAAGTGAAATCTATACATTATTTACCGGGATCAGCTGTCCTTGAGTTATCGAGGTGATGATTCTTTAGTCGTTGACGTGTGTCACGTTTATTCAGTTAATCTTATTGTTGAATCGTGAACATTATTCTGCACACATACAAAAGTTTGCAGGTAAAAAAATTTGTCCTAGTTTATTACATACACACATACATTAAAATGCATGTCCTCCATGTCCTCCCAGTTCAGTTCTTGTGATTTGTGGGGCTGCAAATACTCAAGACAAGGATTTTTATTGTTGACATGACATGACATGACATTTGGATTTCCGTAAATCTATCGGAATCTTCTGTCAACGTGGGGGGAGTGGCATGACGTAAAGAATCGACGCAAAAAAGGGTAAATTGAATTCCTGATTGACAGTTTTTGGATAATATTAGTGTTCAATGTCTTGTAACTCCGCCGAATCGATTGTGTCAAAGGGGGGGACGTCTTGTTAGGTTTGTCAATCATCCCTTAAAAGGTTATAACTTCTCAAAGTGACAATAATAATAACGAATAAGGCCCAATGTCCCGATTTATCATACATCCGCATAATGTATATGTAGATATCTGCGCATATCAATACAAATACCCTTAATTCATTTGCTGTTGTTTGTTTTTGAATAAAGATCTACAAAATATATATGTCACCCGCAATAAGGTGAATTGGCGCCACGATATTATTCAGGGGTTAAAACCTGAGCGCCACTGTTTTGCTTAACGGTTACGAGTAATATAGTAAGGATGAGATTGCAAACATGGACGCGAGATAACAGTTGCCGTAAGAAAAAAATGTCCAGCATTTTGTTCATCCATTAATTTAAATCGTTGAAATCAGGCTAGCTCGATCCCACAAAGATTGACAAATTAAAATGTCAAACTTTGACACATCTTTTTGCATTAAAGATACGGTGTTTGAGATGGCGCATCCGAAAAGAATTGAAATGCCTCGTAATAACAGAAATGTACTGTCAACTCTGACTTTTTTCAAAGCTACCACATAAGAATGTTTTACAACTCGTTTTAGCTCATGCATCAACTATTTCCCATTTCTGCTCTTGAAAGTATCAATTTACTTGTGACTTGAAATGTTAATTATAATTAACTGGTAAGATATAACAGTTTCATAATGTTTCAAACGTTAGAGCAGAAAATTTGTTCGGTCAAGTTTATATCAGGCGGTTGGTTCAATTAAACCAACTCGATCAGTTAAACATACCACAAAAAGTTTTAGATTTTAATAAATTTTCTACAAATCTATTAATTTTGTTTGCCAAACAGTAAATTATTTTTCCGAACGTTGAAGCCCGCATGTCTCCTGTTTATGTTGCGCTTTTGATGCGCTTTTGACATTTGGTATGTGATTTACCAATCAAATTACATAATCGCTGTTAGATAAACACCGACTGGCAAAACCAAAAGATTATCAAATCCTTTTGTTTTCTCAACCAGGCGAGACAGAAATTATACTGTAATTAATTTGATTCATAATAGGGGCTGTGGCGTTTAGCAAATTTTGAAACCCTGAAATTTTCCTGTGGCGCAAACGTATTCTAATTTGTTGCAACACACCCCAAATACAGATATATATATTCAGACATTCTTGACTGAACACCTAGTTCAAATTGACCTTGTGACGAACAAGAGAAAAAAAAAACGAAAATAAAGAAAATAAAAACACTACGATCATAATAACTGTTTGATGTCAACATGAGTGCAACTACCTCTGTAAAATCGCAAGAGCAAAAGCGACCAACTTTTCGAAAAATAATGACCTGGAATAGCAAGACTAAAGACAAAGAACTCCTCCCAACGCACGGTTATGATAGTGCTCCAGGTATGCTCAAGGGGCCAACAACTATTTATCCTTTACCTACATAGTCTCTACTACTATCAAAACCCTCTTCCCCTCTCGAACGCCATTGAAACTCTTTCCCGACATCTTATCCTTATCCCCTCAAGAGCCTTTTCTTTTTTTTCGGTTGTCATCAGCGTGGTATTGATGTTGTTGTTCTTACTCTCAACATACCCATACTAGCGTTATTGCGGTTATTAATCTTATTTGTGTAGCTTGTATTGTAAGAGAACATGTACCGGAAAAAACCAAACGAATATCTTATTCACTCTTTTTTTCTTCCTCAACCATACCATTTGTACCTATTCTTTTTTCTTTTTTTCCCATCCGCATAAAAAAACTCGCCCAAATTTGTCCTTTTCTAGACGACTCTCAACAACCCGTCCCACCCAGTCCAACTCCAAGCACGAGAAGCATCAGATCCAATAATAGACCATCACTCTTCCGTGCGTTTGCCCGCCGAAACTCTACACGAAGCGAACATTCTGTTCGAAGTCGGTCACCAACTAGCCCTAGACCTTCTACCGAATATGGAATAACCGAAGACTTGCGTTCACCGAGTCCGACACCTTCGCGGGATTCGATGGTATTCGAACGTGATGTAGAAACTCATGACCATTTGAGTGTGCACGAAGCCATCGATGTCGGCATTCCACCCATGTTAGAAAAGGCGGCAGAAGCGTTCGCTACGATCGATGATGGTGTACTTGTCATTACAGACAATGGTGGTGAGGAGCCGATATTGAGTGAAGAAGCATCGAGTAATGAATATACTAAGAATGCTTTGCAAGAGACGGATGCGATAAAGCGATTATCGTTGGCTGATATGGCGGACCTCATAAGTAATCGGACTCCTAGTCCTGGTCCATATGATCCAAAGCCAACAATTGCCGAGACATTGCGAGTCACAACGCCAAGAGAGATGAGAGATCTTGCTGGTGTTTATGATAAACAATGGAAATAATTGAAAAACCGGGGTGGGGTTGTTGGTAATTTTAAAGTAGGGGTTTCTGTATGCCATGGGATGTGCTATATAAGTAGGTGAGTTGATGGAAGATAATCGCAGTTGGAGATGGTCATTTCTGGAAACGAGCAATGTATTTATCCTTTTTCTTTTCCCTTCCTGCTCGTTTGTCTGTTAATATTATTTAGTTGCGGTGTATGTGTGTTTCATTGTTATATTATCTTTTATTATCATTTCTTATTTGCTGGTTGCATGATATTTGGGCATATATAATTAAGCAGTGTCGAGATGGGAAGCTATACAATTTGTATTATTCATTATCAGAGTTAGTATACATATTATATATACACATACATATATACATATACAACATATACATGTATCCTAGGCCAATGATGTATGTTTTCCCCTTCTTTGTTTTTTTTTTAATCCTTTACATCGTCGGTTGATCTTTACAGGATCACCGTTCACCGTTCACGATAACCGTCATTTCCGCATCCCTCTCCGTTCCCCTTCTCCGTCCCCTCCCCCCCTTTTTTTTCAATATCCACCAAACATCTCCACCATTATCATCCGTCACCATCATCATAACCACCATCAATCTCTTCTTCTCGTTCTTTATCAATATCCGAAACTTATCGTTCATGTTGATTCACGATCTTGAGAATTAAAATTTTTTTACATCATAATAGTGTTGTTTGGGTATTATATCTTGTATCATTTTCCTTCCCCATCCCTTTCCCATTTCATTTTCTCAGGTTTCCTCGTACAAATGAGTTTCATGAATACTAGGCTCATGAGCATAATAGTGTTGAAGATACAAGAGATACTATTATCTCTAATCATTCATCATTACTTTCTCTTTTCTTTTTATTAGTTATATTGTAGAGGTAGATGGTAGAATGAAAAGTGAATGTTTAAACACCCTCGTGGTATTTAATGGTTGGTAAGGGGAAGGATTTTACAATAGATTTCAAGGAATTAGTGTATACGAAATTATTATTTTAAAAAACCCGGGCTATATGTATAGTCAGGTGCTGAAGTTTTAATCATTTATTATGATTTCTTGGAAAACCAATTAGTTGGATAAAAGAGAGAGAAAGAAGTGAGAGTGAGGTGAGAGGAAAAAGAAAGAAAGAAGATGATAGAGAAAGATGAAGAGGAAAGAGGTGAGGAAGAAAAAGGTGAAGAGGAGAATAAGAGATTGTGAGAATTTCAATTCAGCCGAGGGGGAATGAGAATAGATGAGAAAGGAAAAAGAGGCAATCTATTTACTTCTTTTTTCTTTTTATATAAATTGTCTTTTGTGCCGAAAGAATACATGTATAAAGCATTATATTATTTGGACAAGTCTGTTGTAAAATGGATCTACAAGATTATATTAAGTTGTGATTATGATGAAATTGGGGGTCGGGATGAGTGATCATCATTCTAGCAACTAACGTTTCGATCTCGGAGCTGTATACGCTCGGTCGACGGTTTGTTTTGCTAACTACTATTGGTTCATGGTCTCGCCGATCTCGTCGGCTTTTGATTGCCATGATGCGCGCCCATCTACATTCGCGAAAGGCCCTTTTGTTTTTTATAAAAGTAACCGATCGTCGTCCAAAACAGATGAAACTGGAATTTACATATTTATCATTGGTTCTGTTGTTTAATGTCATGTTTCAGCCCCTTGATTATCCTAAATTTGGTCAGGAGCCATTACTGACCAGAAAAAGAAGCTTAACGTTCACGTGATATGACTTAACGTTAAGAAGAAGAATAATAATAATGATAACAACATTCATGCGCATTAGAATAGACGGCGACGGGTACCGCGTACTAATTATAATGTCAGCCAAATGTTACCGAATTTTTTTTCCGCGAAAGGAATTCGTCGATGAATCGTAAAATAAATACGCATCCATTCATTCCAATCTCACCCGACTCTGTTAATCGAATTGGAAAATGACCAAGATCAACCTAAAAATAAAACAAATACGTCACATCAGTCTCGGCAAAATTAAGGTATCAAGCCACGATAAACAATTTCGGGGGTGCAGGTAATATTCTCGCGTATTATTTACTAATAAATATCCTTTATTTGAATTTCTCTGGTTCTAAATTATTGTCTCGATTATTCAAAAAAAATTTCATAACAACTTTTTTAATTTGCCGAATACGAACCATTCACACAAAGCCCTAATTCAAAGAATAAAAATTTCACAAGTTTGCAAGTTGACACACGTGATAATTCGTAATACGAAACACAACTCCTTCAATTCGACTGGCTGATCACACAATAATTATTTACTATTACTATTATAAATCGTATGATGCAAACAATCCAAATTACGTCATAGATCATACGATGTATTATCATGTCATTAACAATATAGTATTAAAAAAGTAACTATTTACAACAATCGAATGATACACAGATAAGTGTAAATAGTTCCGTATGGCAACGTCAGATAACGAAAAAGCAAGTCGATTCTCCAAGAGAAGCTAGCTAGTCTACAAGAATACTTGCATAATGATGATATTTACCAATAAAAATTCTGTACAAACTAGTCATGATTGCACCCTATAATAAATTTAGGTATCAACAACGATACTCAAGTCGAATTTTTTGATATCGGTCTTTATTTACAAATGACAACTAAAGCAGTTTTTGTACACATCTTTCGTTTGTATCTCTCTTGGCAGCGCATTTTGCTTTACAGCTAATCTGGTACCCAATAGTAGTAACCTTGGCATTTATTAAGAGAGTTCCAATTCTGAAAGTACTAAATTCAATCACATACATTCTGTGAGACAGTTGATTCTATCAAATAAAGGAAGCGTGAGAAGTGTTCAGTTTAGAAAGATTGCGATTATAAGATTTTCTGTTTAATATAAAAAAGGTATAGACACCGAGAGATTAATATACTCGTTGGAAGGTTGATACTCGTTTAATACAACAAAAGTGATTGCGAATCTATTATCGTTGCGTAGTTTGTTTAAGTTAAAGTATTATTTTCGTTAATGAGGGGGGACCTATCCCAAAATGTTAGTAGAGTATTGGAGCTGTTGTATATGTCAGATCAGAATTCCGAAGTGATATATGTCAGATCAGAATTCCGAAGTGATATATGTCAGATCAGAATCTTATGTCGCTTCCAAACTGACATGTGTCAGATGAGAATAATAGAAAATTAGCAGCAATAATAAATATGACAATGTTTTATTGAATAATTCTGATCTGACATACAACAACTGGGGTCCATTCATGTGGAAGTTCTGTATTGATTTCTTGTTGTTCCAGAGTCCAACCAAAGTTTTTAGAAGGTTTACGGTTATACGGTTACAACGATGAGCTAAGAGTAGCGTTTGAATTTAATGGGCCGCATCACTATTATCGTAATGATGTATCACAGAAAAATGCAAACAAAGGGCATAGATCTTATTGAAATTCCGTATACCTGCGATCTTCTACCCTACATCCGCCACACATTAGTAGAAAAGGGTTATTTGTCAAATATTAATATCGAATAATTTTCTGTGGTACTTTTGACAAATATAATAACGTTTATTATTTGGCGTAAGAAGCTTCATCCATCTCATGCTGAGAAACTTGATCGGTGCGAAATCTTTGTTTATCACATTGACGAATGCAAGAATGCAGAAAGATTTAACGGTCTCAATTCGACATCCCAATGGCCTTTTAATTTACTGGTCAGCGGACAAACTAAATCAGGAAAAACGAATATGATTGTCAGTCTTCTACGGGAAAAAAGGCTGTGGTACCACTGGAACACGCTATATAAAAAATGACGATCTGCTTTTGTTTGGACACCATATCAAGGAGCCAAACTACCGCCACTTGAGGGATTGTTACCAAATCATTGCGAATAATCCAAGACCATATCGCGAAATGTTCCGTTCCAAATTGACAAAGCCTGATAAAATACCAAAGATTAACGAATTTTCTCCCGAAAGAGGGACGGTAGTTATCTTCGAAGATTTATGTAGTGAACCTAAAAAATACAAGAGAAAATCAATCCCTTACTTTACGTAACGCAAAGCTTTTGGTATATACGTTTGGGTTGGGACTATGCTTTGAAATTAGACACAGAATAAGATTCACGTTAATAGGTACGTTACTAATTTGAAGAGCATTTCTGAGCCGTACGACACTCTAATGTTTTGTAAACATGCATAGTGTAAGGCGATTAAATCCATCGGGTCAGTAAATTTACACCACGATTTTTCTTTGTATCTTTATACACGCTTGAATCTTTTTACCAATTTCCCTTGCATGTTCGAGTCTCCCGATTGCATTGCATTTCCATAACTCATAACGATGTAATGCATACTTATTGTCATAATATCCAGAATTATATTCTTGTTTAATTTTCAAATATTCGTAATTTACACCACAATATTTATTTCCGGTACATGAAAATTTCCAATGCTTCTCCATTCCTATATGGTTATAATTTCCTATATTCTTTTTCTTTGTCCGGTGTATACTAATCAGTCACAAGAGAACATATTGCTATTCCGATTTTAGGAACATATGAACTGCCATCCGGAAATCGTATTAGTGTCCTAGCTTCAAGATATTTTACTCTGACTTGGCAACAGACCATTTTCTCTAAATAATATTCATGCCATTCTTCAGGAGTGTTACGTCCATAAATCTGCCTATTTAAATCCATTTAAAAATATCTTCTTCAATGAATACGTTTAAATGTTTCTAGCGTTTTTAGCCCTGTACGTATAAAAATTCAATTTCTTGTTTCCGTTTCGGTCAATAATTCGCGATACGTTGGCGGGAACTTATATAATTAATTTAATCATGAACGTTGTCATCGCCATGATGACGAACAGTCATGTTGAAGCTATGCCGCTAAATATAAGTTCGAAGACTTTTGTAACAATAACAAGATTTCAGTTCATTATAAACAATCTATTTCAAGCATGTAGAATCTATATCGACGTCAGTCTATTTCGGGAGAGTGATTAGATCTTACATTATATAATTTCTTTATTTGAAAATTTAGTACCATTACACGTGACCTGCGACGCTTATCGTTATTGTTTATAAGTGAATTTGCATGAATATAATTAATTAAGAAGACCAAACGGATTGACAATTGATAACGCATAATTTTTTGTTTATTTGCGAAATGATTTGGGGTTTCCGACCACCGTTTTTATACGTGCTGTGAAAGTGAGGAAGATTGAAGTTTGATATAATGTTCAATTTTGTTGAGTCTTTGCTAATACGCTCATACTCATACTATCGTACAAGTTTCCGGATCCACAAAGTGGAATATACGTCCATTGCTTGCCATCAACAGTCATGTTAACATGGCTGAAATCATTCGCACATTGAACATAAATGAAGTTTTGCTTAGGACTCCGTGGGAGTCCTTTGGTCTGCCTAATATCGATGATAGCATATTCTTTCGCCCATTTCAGTAAACCTTTCTTGGTGACTCCGTAAATCCTCCCCGTCCCGCAAAAGTTCTATTGCCCAATCTCGTCCATCATTAACATAAAAATCGACATAACCACCTGTACCAAATACTGCTCCAACATCTGGCGAAATATAGACATCTATAGGAAGAATCTGTGTGGCAGATCTATAAAATTCCATCTGCCAGATCCTTTCTAATAGTCTTCCATCACAGCCAATGCTTAGTGTCATACGGAATGTCTCTGGTCTCATTGCTGTAAAGACAAATTTAATAAAATCTTGAAACGACTTTGGTGGTATATGCGCACACTGCGTAGCACCTAAACGACCTTGAAGGTAAATAGCCCGTAACAACGGTGCTGAAAAATCCAAAATATTGCCTTGCATGTTATGGCTCTGAGATGGAATAAGGATACTTGTATTGATAAGGCGACCATTGTTTGGAACGCCTTCTGGATGTACGATAATGCGTCTCGGTCTGAAGAGAACAGTATCTACAAGATGGATTTCATCCGAATCCATATAACTGAGTCGTGGAGCTGCCCGAGTACTCTTTATGAAAAGTGATAAGAAACTATAGAGTATTAGCCAGTGTATATAAAAGTTTCATAATTAAAGACAATCCCTTTACTCTAATATATTCTCTGAACCCATAGCTTGAAAGATATATGTAAATCTTTTCAAAAGTCAGCGCTTCTTTTCCCTCCTTCAGTTGTGGAAGAAATCTTTTGTATATCGTGTTCATTGTATATGCGACAAGCCCAGGATGCAACAATGTCACTTCAGAGACATAGCAGCCAAGCACATCAACATCTTTCAGGGACAACTTGCAAAATCGTCGAAAATAGTCATAGAACTCCTCCGTAAAGCGCACGTTCTCCAAGCTCCAGATATGGGACTGGTGAAGCCGATATGGAAAACCATCCATAATATTTCCTGTTTCTGCGTTTCCATCGTATACACCTCTATAGCCATATACTGCAAACGCAACTATCTGCAGTCTTCGGGACTGTTGCATGCTTTTGAACGTATTCCAAAATATATCCCCATCATGCAAAGCTTTGGCTTCACCTTCTGGTCGATATAGCATTTGAACTTCGTCAACGATTAACACAGTTGAGATGGAATTGCACTCTTCTATAAATTCATCCCAACTGAGGCCTCCGAAAAGCCACCCGAACCTTCCAGCAAAGTCCCATAGTTCTCCTTCCCTTTTCATCCACAGCAATGACAGCTGAAAGACCCGACGCTTTTGACCCTGAAATTCTGGTAATTCGAGCAAGTGGTGTTCGAAAAGTCGAGCAAGTGGTGTTCGAAAAGCCGAGCAAGTGAAGTCTTACCTGCCATTGGCGGAGCACGGACAAATATGACTCCCTTGTCAGACAAAGCCTGTTGTAACTTTTGAACAGTAGGTTTTCTCTTACAGACGACCTCATCATTCAAATCAATGCCTTCATAGCCTAGACCGCGCTCAGATCCGTCCATGAGGGTACCACCCAAACCACCTGTGAAAAAGACCAGTAAGACCTTGAATGACCTAATATTTGCATAGTTGACATACCCAGTCTTGGCATATAACCATATTTTTGTCGAATGCTACGTCCTCGCATTGTAACATAACCATAGAAGAAAGAGAAACGAGGAAAAAAAAGTACGTTACTAAACGTCAGCATTATTATGGAATAGGCACATCATTCAATGTCGTGTTCTCTATCCTGACAACAGCGTTTGAACTATTCTCTCCCCTCCTCTACTTAACCCAAACGTATAGTAACCTGCTTGTTTGACTTTCAAACGAGTTTACGTATAACAGAACCTTTGCTACGACTCTGCTCTATGTCCCAACCCCAACGCATGTCGTAATGCATTCGAACTATTCTCTATACAATAGTAACCTAGCTCCGCTATGAGTCGGCTCCGCCTTTACTAAGTTCTATTCTACATTCCTCCAACGCACGTCGTAATGCATTCTCTCTCCATATTACTGCTACAAACCCCGTAATGTCTCTACGACACACAGTTCTGCCCCAACCAATAACGCCCAACTGCCTCTCTTGCAATATAGCACAAAACCAGTAACAGTATTCAAACCTCCTCCCCGTTGCTTCTATATCCTCCCAATAAACGTGCGTTGCTTTCTTACCTTGCTTTGTCTCGAGGTATTCCTCGTAGCAATCTGTACTTTGTCCGGGGTGGTCGCTATGGTATTTACGAAAAAAGTCTTTATATTCTTCGTAGGCAGCGCTGGCCTCCTCTTCAGTTGCTTGTGGGTAGTCTCGACCGTATTTAAGATAAAATGTTAGCAGGCTCAGTGGGTCTACGTTCATAGCGTCCATGTCTAGATATTTTTAAGATGCCCTGTTTATGGTAAGTGGCATGTTGTCAAGTTATGAGAATGATAACAAAAGAGTCGCGTTGTTCATATTCTGACGTGAATCTGTGTTGCACAATCAGATTTGAGTTCGCAGGCGCAGTGACTATGAAACAATGTTCGCTATTGCCAGTATATTTTTGGCTTTCCCCTCATCAATAAAAACTTCGATTACGCTTTACAATGTTAATTTTGCTGACATGTGATCATTAAAGTTACGCTTAGTATCTGATATTAAATAACTGCGAGCTTACATGGGAGGCAAACTAGTACTTGAGAAGCGGAGCTTCGAGGCTTTGCCTCCCAGAGTACTAGAAGTAGTCAGACCCAAGCCTCGTACAGCGAAGACGATAACTACTCTTATTCTTTGGGCTCGCAAATATTAACTAATATCTTTATTATTGTTATTGTTATTTTTAAAATTGCTACTAGTGCTACTCAAAAATAGGTTTTGCTACTGCTACGAGAATTATTTCTTTCAATTTTCTTTCACTTCGATCTTGCTAATGTTTAATCCGAAGTAAATTGAGAAGCGAAGATTTAGCTATTACAGTGGGGCCGCTTTTTGCCAAATTATATGACAATTTGTATATTTCCTCTGGTTCGTGCATGATCCCGTGCTTTGGGGTTATTCAATTGTTTGACTAAGACTAAGCTTAGCTACGCTCATCTGAGGGGTTAGGTTGTATTGATTTATGAAATTTGTAGCGATTTTCGACATTGTGTTAATGGGATGGTTATGCGGACTATAACTATGACGAATATCTTTAATAATTATTGATGAGCGGTTTTTTTACAGCAAATGTTGCAAGAAAAATTAGAACAATGGAAGGCCAATATTGTCTTTGAATTTTGGGATAACACGGAAAATAGAACGCGAGATTATGATTTCCCAAATATAGAAAGCCCGCCTTGGTATTCCTATACAACTCCATGCAAAAAGGAGTTAGATAAAATTTATTCAATATCCATTGAATATGTATAATTGTAGCATTGTTGGTGTTGTTTTATGAACGATTATCAAATTATAATTATGAGAAATTTTTTTTAGTTCAAAAGTATTATTGGATGTGCAACTACTGACCCATAGCGTAATTTCTATCAACACCAACATTTTTTTTTGTCCAAAAGGGTTAAATCCAGCTAAAACGTCAAAAAATGCGTGGGTTACTGTCCCGCTCACATTAAGAATTTTATATTGTATTATTATACTATCTCTACTAATTTTTTGGTACCCCTTTCATGATATAGAACGGGAAACAGATTAAGATACACTACCCGTAGCAGCAATTACAACAAAATTTGAATTCAGTTTTAGTCAGCCCAAACTAGAGTTTTCATATGGACAGATTTTCCGTGCGTCAGACTGTGAACGAATTTTCGATATCTTCAAAGAGTGGAATAAGTAAAAAATGTTTATCCGTTCGGACGAAATCGGCAATATTTGTTCTAGATTGAGAAACGCAGTGGTTCCGCCAAGCTGGGTTGGAACGTTTGCTGATGCAAACTCGTATTTGCTTGATCAATAACTATTTTTTTTTCAGCTGTTTCTACCAGCTAACTCCGCAGGCCGGCTCTTGCAATGACAGTGCAATCACAAACTCGAATGACGGCACAAATGCAAACTCATCATCACTGAATAGCAGCTGAATTCTTTAACTAACACCCTCAGCTGATTTCCTCGGTGGTATACTGGCAAATGACGATGTAAACGCAATCATGTCATCACTCAAATTATAATGCAAATGCAAACTCATCGTTGCGTATTTAATTATATAGTTAAATTGTCGCAATCTCGAGTTAGAAGGCCATGCGCAATACTTTTCAGCTGTAAACCAATAAAACGTTACTGTTACAACCCATATATTAAATTCGACATGTTGGGCGTGTAAGAAATCATTGCAATACATAACAAATATTTAATAATGCCATGTAAGAATTAAGTTTGTAATTGGAATGTAATCGGCATTCAATAACAGAATCGGATTTTGGGAAAAAGTTTCGCTTAATCAAATATAACATACATAAGTACTCCTGCGCAGAGCTTGGGGCGCTACAATTGTATTAGACATATCAGACTTTACGTTAAATGTAATACGTGACTCGATAAACTCTGTGAAGAAATTCCCATTTTGAGTGATAACTGATTTATATTATACTGTATATTAATGTGGTCAGCGTTTACGTAATCCCGTAAAATGCAGTGACACAAGAAAGCTGTATTTTAATACAACAAGGCCAGCTTGTATTTTTGAATTAGCCGACACTTTTTGTCAATTACTACCATACACTTGACGCAGCAATCGTTTATGCATTCAGTGTAACGTACGCATGCCTAAGTAATGGCGAAGAGGGCCTTGGCACAGCAAAGAGTCACTCTTTACCATACGTTTTCATTCATAACAGTTTTATCATGGCTGCCGCTATTTCAGACAAAAATGCCTTTCAAAGGGCTCTCAGGTCGGCCAGACACATTGTTGTGCTTGCTGGAGCTGGTTTAAGTGCTGGTACGCAAGTATCTTCATGACCTGTGGTTAACTTGGTATCGATACGTTGCCGACATGCTCAGCAAGCTCTTCCTGACTCTCATCAACTTTATCCGCTTCCCTCTCCTTTTTTATATCTTACATTCTTCGTTATGGCCCATTTCTCCAATGCGTCACCCAAACTTTACGTATCATCACCACCATACTATTCGCGTAGAGTCGGGGGTGCCGGTACGAAATAGACCAATCATGTTTTTGTGATTTTTCCTTTGTGAATTATTTAACAACACATGTAACATTATAATTAGACATTTCGAGGTGAGGGCGGACTTTGGCGCACACACGATGCCATGAGTTTGGCCACGCCCCGGGTGAGTTGCAGGGAAACGTATACCAATCTATAGAGTATTTCTGACAAGCAGGCGTATTAGTCAGCAATAGCAATTGGCCAAGTTTCTCGTTAATTTCGTATGTCGAATTAATTATTGCCAATAATTTGAAAATTGACCATCGTGACGTTTCTGTTATATACGTCCACAGGCATTTAGAGCTAATCCAAGTCGCGTCTGGCAGTTTTATCACTACCGGTAACAATGCACACCATTTTTGCGTTCGACTATTTTTCTTATTTTTCTTACACCCTGTTCCGTGACTGCCAGCCGCGAGTTGGTCTTGACAAGAGAACCGAATCGTGCACATAAAGCACTAGTGGCATTCGAACAGAAAATTCTCTCACAAGCCAATTCGCAGTCTTCTGATACTCCGGCTCAAACCTTTGCCCTCATTACCCAAAACATCGATGGCCTTTCGGCTGGCGTTCAAAACCTCATTGAAATGCACGGTATGCTGTTCAAAAATCGATGCACGATCTGTGGAGACGTTCGCGAAAATCGCGACTCTCCCATCGTGCCAGCGTTGGCAGGTACAGAGAATGAGGAAGCGGAGAGAGAGATCGCGTTAGAAGACCTGCCCAAGTGTGGAGAGTGTGGTGGATTGCTTAGACCGCATGTCGTCTGGTTTGAAGAAAGCCTGGAAACGAGCGTGTTGGCTAGAATCCAACAGGAACTGCTTAGGTGTGATCTGCTTATGATTGTCGGAACGGTAAGAAATAGGCAAGAATGAAGCAAGGAGGAAATTGAAATGAATCGGAATTCAATTGTTCTGATGGGAGGGTTGTATTCATGTTTGTTGTTTTGTTGCTGTGTTTCCTTTTCACAGTCAGGGCTCGTGTACCCAGCAGCGGGATTTCGCCATGCTGTGAAGATGCGAAATCCTCAAACTGTAGTCGCCAACTTCAACATAGTGCCGATGGAGAGGGTCGATGAGTCTTTGGAGACTGGAATAGACTTTGAATTGTAAGCAATATGCGACTATAATGTTTATTAAAGCAAAAATTTGAATTTCTACGATCGTTTCGAGTTCTAACGAAATACACCTTTCTCCTTCCTTTTCTCTACAATTTATTCTAATAAAATACAGTATAGGCCCGTGTGGACAAACCCTACCCGAAGCCCTCGATGTCGAAGAAGAAGTCAACAGAATGTAGAGCTTTTGTATGACAAATCGAACTCTATGATCTTATCCCGAATTATATATCTTACATA